GAACTGATCTGGCTCTATTTAATCAGCCCGGCAGATGACTGATTAGATGGCCTGATTCCTCCAATTATTTACATTTGAGGCATCCATGGGATCCTTAAGCAGGCACATTAGAGTTTGTTTGGAGTGTAAATGAAACTGGCCAGAAGTAAAGAAAAGTAATACGATTAGTGTAGTGCTGGTCAGTGCAGTAATTACCTGCATGCTTACAAGAGAGAGATGAGTGGTCAAATTAACAGAATTTTCTGGAAAAAAAACAACAACAACCTTATAATACAATAGGCATTGTCAACCTTATAATACATTGAAATGCATTGTCATATGCTTGGATATGACTCAAAGCTTAAAATCAATGAGCATGTCAATTATTAATCTGGATGATTTATGAAGGTGGCCCTTAATATTGGTCATAAATTAAGATGCATGAACACTGAACATAATACTAATCTAGCATATATTACATTCACTGTCTGAATAAAAAAACAACCCACTTCTCTTCGTTACATTAAGTTGTTGAGGATCTAGCCTTATGTTGCTTAAGTCTGCTATGGCCACCCCTAATTCCACTGTAACCCCTACACCGAGCCCATGACGATTATTTATACTTTACAAATTATTATATTTTAAGGGTCTACACATATTATCAAACATATAATCAAAAAATATGGACGGAGCCTACGCCAATGAACTTTGCAAATAATTGCCTGCTGGGCTGTCAATAAATTGATGCTTTGTTACATCATTTTATCTCCCGAGTCTTTCTGGTAGAACTAACAATTGTGTTGTATCTTGCTTTGACTGGGTGTCTTGGGTCACCCGATACAACTTCCAGAACGTAACATATTAATAGATATATTTTTTGTCTTGTGGTAACCGTTTTATAAAAGCAATAGGATACCCTATGCGTGCTTTACTGTGAATGTGGTCACGGCTAAAGGGGTTGTGTCATCATGACTGTATTCACAATAACCCACAGCACAGCCTTTGAGACCTTATTGCTTAATTGGCTTAGTTTTGACATTTCATTGATCTACGAATAAATTAGAATATTACTCAAACTACTTTTTCCTCTTAATCTTAAAGTTAATTTTGATACATTGAAGCACAAAGCTGAGTTAAAGGGTTAGTTCACCCAAAAATGAAAATTAAGTCATTAATTACTCACCCCCATGCTGTACCAACCCCGTAAGACCTTCGTTCATCTTCGGAACACAAATGAAGATATTTTTGATTAAATTTGAGAGCGGTAAAACTACCACATAGGCTCCTAAGGGACTGGCTTTTGACGGCCCAGAAAGTCAATGAAGAAAATGTTTAAATATCCCATGTGACTACCGTGGCTCAACTATACGTTTATCAAGCGACGAGAATACTTTTTGTGCGAAAAAACAAACAAAAATAACGACTTTATTCGACTATTCCTTTTCGTCCTTGTTGGCCTGAAACGAGACTTCCATACGATTTCCACGACGCATGCACGAGAATTGCGATCTCCTTTAACTACTTCAGTTCAATTCTCGCGCATGCGTCGTGGAAATCTAAGTAAGTCTCGTTTCAGGCCAACAAGGACGAAAAGGAATAGTCGAATAAAGTCGTTATTTTTGTTTGTTTTTTCGCACAAAAAGTATTCTCGTCGCTTGATAAACGTATAGTTGAGCCACGGTAGTCACATGGGATATTTAAACATTTTCTTCATTGACTTTCTGGGCCGTCAAAAGCCAGTCCCTTAGGAGCCAATGTGGTAGTTTTACCGCTCTCAAATTTAATCAAAAATATCTTCATTTGTGTTCCGAAGATGAACGAAGGTCTTACGGGGTTGGTACAGCATGGGGGTGAGTAATTAATGACTTAATTTTCATTTTTGGGTGAACTAACCCTTTAAATGTGGATGTAGAATTCATTACGTTTTGGTCCAAACAGCTGAGGTCACCCTTTCATTCCAAACATCTGTGAGCATAATTCATATGTGGGACCAAAAACACTGGCGATGGAAGGAGGAACTGTTAAAGCCGAAATCCAGCCATGATCCATTTTATTTCTGGTATAATATCAAATTACCGCCTGCCTGAGAGCACACTATAGACAGCTGCTATTGCCTTGCAAAGCAAAGAGATATTAGCTAGAGAACTGTGGCCTATCACCAGCCACTGTGCAGAAGGAAAGGCACATGGTTAGCTGACGGGGGAACAGTCAGGTGGCCAAATAGGCTTGGCTCAGCCAGACACAACCAACATTTCCCTGAAAATCATTTCCAAACATTGATTAACGGAATGGCGAGTGTGTAAATGCTTTCTCACATCCCAGATGGGGAGAAAACTCCAGGGTTGTTTTCCTCTCAATGCAGCCAGTCTGTTCTAAAGCAGAGCATTCTATCTAAAGTAAATGGAATGTTGAGAAGGGTGCTCCGGGCATTGAACATGATCAGCTTTACCAGAACGGGGGTATGTCTGAGCCGTTCCGAGCACTGTCAGAGAGATCAGTGAAGTCAGGGTGACATTTGCTGGAAATAACATTTTCTGGAGTGTCATCCAAAAGACCATATCAGTGATACTCAGCCAAGCAGCTGTACATGAGCCATGAGAACACCACCCTCATTCAGCTGGCATATCGTTGAGGGACATTAACTAGAAAATGAGTTCTCTTTGTGCCTTTCCGAGCAATCTTATCAAGTGCATAAGAATACAAGAGAAAAAGAGACTTGCAATGCAACACAAAATGGAAGACATTCTATATGTGATACTTCAGCAGAATTAAAATGCATTTTTGCATGCAACTGCACTACAGTTCCATTGTTTTTCTGTTCAACATGCACTAGACGGACATATTTGACCACTACACTCACGTCTTATGCACGACAAGGTGTTCTAAAAATGCGGCAATCAAGTTAGAAGTTCGGCTTTTAAAAAAACACGTCTCTAGATCTTTCTTCATTCCACCCTCTTTCACAAACTGCTCTGAGACACACAAGGTTGTGGATCCATTTTCACCTTATTTTTTACCTTTTTACCGTGCCTTTTTACCTGCATGTTCTGTAATATAGCCCATCACATCTTTTGCTTTGTTGACATAAGCCCCTTTCACACAGAGATTCCAGAAAATACATGGATAATGTGACCCGGCATTTGTCCCGGGATTGTTTGATTTCGGTTAATTCACACTGCCAGTGATTTGCCGGGATCTGTGAGTGCGTTCACACACAACCCATAAAGATACAATGACGTCAGGATGAGACGTGTAACGTACGCGTCAAAAACATGTACACGCGTATACCGTTCCACAAAGCTGGTGAACGATCTCAGCTTCAGCGCGGATAGTGAGGAGCGTCTGTAGAAAGCGTTTTGGGAGGTATTTTGACAATTTGATTAAACACATGCGAAAATGTTGGACTCTGGATTCTGTCCAAGGACCTCAAAGGCTGAGGATCATAACCCATACTTGGAATTTGTCCTCTGTATTTAACCCATCCAAGTTAGTGCACACACATTAGGAGTAAGTGAGTGAACGCACACACACACACACACACACACACACACAGCAAAACGTGGACAGACCGTGGGCAGACATTTTTGCTTTGGTGGTTACGATTGGGGGTTACTTCTACTAACTTATTCCAAGATAACTTTTTTTTGTGTCTGAAGTTCCCCACAAGTTTACAGCTGGTAATTAGCTGGTCCATCTGGTAGACCAAACTGAACAAGCAAATTGAACAGTTTTTTCCATGCATATGGAATATTTGAAATTAAATACTATCTGAATGCAATTATTGGTAATTGAGTAGCTAGAAACTGAGTTACCATGTTTAAAAGCAAGCTACTTGGATGTTCCACCAGCACTTATATATCGGTTTTCATATTTTAAGAATGTTCTACACTGACTGCATTTGAAAATATCAAAGACTAAAATGCAAAAAAAGAATGAAAAGCCAAAAGGCTATATCCTGCCAGTTCACCTTCAAGAGAACAGGTGTGTGTGTGTGTGTGTGTGTGTGCGTTATCAGATTCCTATCCCGCTCTCTGATTTTCTGATTGATGGCCTCATCTCCTCCAAACAGACATGAAGCCGAAAGGAAAGGGGCTCGAACAACTGCCAGTGGACTAAGGAGAAAAAACAGATATGTGCTTTTGCTTTCTTCAAAAGGTAAAATTCGTAAATAATGAAGAGGCAGATCCTGCAGCTAATCTAATTTAAGCGAAGTGTGCATTTTCAGCAGCACGCGGTAATTGTTAGGCTACTCGCGTTCGCATGCGTTGAATACCATCGGGTGTTTTGAGCAGCTGTGTTGATACTCGCCACACACCCTTCTGATTGCGTAATGTGTGTAAAGGGTGTCTTGGATGCAAATATAATATTCTCTGTTAATTATATGAACCTTAATGACGAAGTTTCTTCCCCCACATCTATGTCTAAATTTATTTGTAAGATCTACAGGTAACTGTCACGCATAACTACTCATGGTTACAAATGGGTTTACAGGCTATCTATAGAAACACTCTGTGGACAGTTGTCTTGCAATTAAACCACAATTACCATGTAGAGTGGTGATTGATTGGGTGACCGCACAGCACAACAAGCAGCAAGGTAGTTTAATACCCTGAACGTTGTTAGACCTATTTCAGGAATCACTGAGGTGTATTACTATTGGAGGGAAAAAAGTGTTGTAAATGTATGTGATTTGGGGACTAACATGACCTTTACGCTTCAGCAAACAGCATTCCAAGATAATAATTGTTTTATATCAAGTATATATGTATTCTGATATTAATATATCATATAGTTATTGACTAACTGTATAATACATTATTCTGGCTATACATTACATATCTATCCACCAAAAGAAAAGAAAAAAAATGCACCTGTTCAGTCAGATTCAAGAGCTGTGTAATAAGGAGCTGGTGCTGCTAATTCAATTTATTTTTAATTAAACAGGACCCACAGCATTATGCCCTTTTACAAAGTCTTGATTATTTAATTATTATTATTTTTTTTGGTGTCCACTTGTTACGACCCTTGGCTCAAGGGAAGCAACAAAAACAAGGGACACACGCAAACCAAATTATAGGCTCAAAAATAATGTTTATTTAACTACAAATAATAAGACAAAACAGAATAATGAAATGAAAACAATTAAAGAAAATAAAAGTGTTTCTGTAGTAATCAGCAAAATCAGTGTGTAGAGCACGGTGCATGGTTGAAAGGGTAATGCAATGTTGAGGTTTGAAATGTGAATGCAAAAAGCAACAAAATACAACGCAAGCCAAACACCAAAGCAAAGTCCGAAACCAAAGAGCCCTCCTTCCTTGGCTCAGATGGTGATCTTTTAAGCGTCTAAGGTCACAGGTGTTTCCATTGAGGCAATTAGGCCATTTGATGCAATTAGCGGGCTCAGGTACCAACAGCAACACTCAAGACCAACAGCAGGGGTCGTCACACCCCTCCCCATAAAGACAGGGACTCCCACAAAGATCCCTGTAACAGAACAAACAAATCTCAATAAATAGGCATAATATATTACTCAAGTTCAGGACCAAAGACAGCTCCCAATAACGCCAAGAAGAATGATACATTTGAATCCAATAGATTAAAATGCATCAGGAGCGCGTGACAGCGCATCAGCCACCACATTTTCCAACCCTCTTATGTGTCGAATATCCAGACAGAAGGATTGCAAAAACAAGGACCAGCGAACCAACCTCTGGTTAGGACACTGCAAAGAATTGAGAAAGATTAATGGATTATGATCGGTGTATATCACAATAGGTGCACAGGCGTTAAGGTAAACCGCAAAATGCTGCAAGGCCCAAATCAGGGCTAACGCTTCCTTTTCGACCACAGAATAGTTACGTTGGTATGAGTTAAACTTTCTCGAAAAGAAACTAACTGGATGGTCTACTCCGTCCACATTCGACTGCTGAAGAACAGCTCCAGCCCCAACATTACTGGCATCAACGTGCAACGTGAAGGGTTTATCAAAGCACGGAGCCATAAGCACGGGCGCTGAACACAGCAGGGATTTTACGTTCTCAAAAGCTAATTCGCAACTGTTAGACCATAAAAACTTTGTCTTACCCTTTAACAAGTCTGTCAGTGGTGCTACCACAGTAGAGAAATTGCAACAGAAAGATCGATAATATCCTACCAACCCTAAAAACCTCATAAGCTCTTTCTTGGTCGTTGGGGAAGGAAAATTCTGGATGGCTTGCACTTTAGCCTGTATCGGACGCACTTCTCCATTCCCCACTACCTTCCCAAGATACGTGATGGTCGCTTTCGCAAACTCGCATTTGGCCAAATTCACGGTAAGTCGAGCATCAGACAAACGTCTCAACACCGAACGCAACCGTGTTAAATGAGACTCCCAACTGTCACTAAAAACGACTAAGTCGTCCAAATAGACGGCACAACCCTCAAGACCACAGATTACACGATTCATGAGGCGTTGAAAAGTCGCCGGAGCATTTCGTAGACCAAAACTCATGACCCGGTAAGAATGTAACCCTGACGGGGTGACAAAAGATGAAATTTCTTGTGCTCTCTTGGTTAAAGGCACTTGCCAATAGCCCTTCAGCAAGTCAAACTTGCTGACGAACTTGGCTGAACCAACTTGGTCCACACAATCCTCGACTCGGGGCAAAGGAAAACAGTCCGGCTTTGTTAAGGCGTTAACTTTACGGAAATCCGTACAAAATCTTACAGTACCGTCTGACTTTCCAACTAAGATACACGGAGAAGCCCAATCAGAAAAAGAAGGTACTGCAATATCGTGATCCTGCATATACTTAATTTCCCTCTCTATCAGTTCTCGTTTCTCAGGCGCAACACGATAAAAACGCTGTTTAATAGGCTTTGCGTCCCCAACATCGATATCATGTTCTACCCAATCGGTACGCGATGGCACATCTCCAAACAATTCAGGAAAACTACGCAATATTCTACATAATTCCTGACATTTTCCAGGCGATAAATGACAGAGACTAAACTCCAAATTGTGCAATGACTCGGAATTATTCAAACGGCCACGAAAGACACAATCATCGGGTGAGAGAGTCTCCTCTTCCTCACCCACCAAACTCTCAACATTACCCCCCCGATAGAAACGGTGGGAAGTGCTGAATGTAAAGAAATCACATTTGCTACAGGTTTGGTTTCTTTTTCATAATAGGGTTTTAATAGATTTACATGGCACCGTTTAACTGACTTTTTACGCGATGGCATCGAGACGTCATAATTTTCATCAGTCAATTTTCGTTGTACAACAAATGGGCCATCAAATTTAGCTTCAAAAGGAGAGGATACGATCGGCCGTAAGACAAGAACTTGATCGCCTGGTTCAAACACTCGATGTTCAACCGTACGGTCATACAATTGCTTCATATCTTTCTGATGTTTTCCTAGATTTAATTTAGCTAATTCTCTAGCCTGGATGAGTCGATTTTTAAACCCCAAAACATATGACGCCAAGTTTTTAGGAGGTTCTACAGCTTCACCAACCTGCTGAAAGACAGACAACAATCCACGAACATTATGGCCAAAGACCAAGTCATTAGGGCTGAAACCCGTACTTTCCTGCACTACTTCACGGGCAGCCAACATCATCCACGGCAAACCCTCCTCCCAATCTCTATCCAGTTGCACACAGTACGCACGGAGAAGTGACTTTAACGACTGGTGGAATCTCTCCAATGCACCCTGACTTTGTGCATGATACTGATTATGCTTAATGTGCAGCTGTTTTAACACCTGCTGGAAGAGATGCGAAGTGAGATTTGAACCTTGATCACTTTGAATGATTTTTGGAATCCCAAAAACAGATATAAACTGGGTCAAAGCTTTCACAATAGAACGGGACGTAATGGTACGTAGTGGATATGCCGCAGGAAAGCGCGTGTTCAAACACATCACAGTGAATAAATAACTGCTACCTGACTTCGAACGGGGAAGTGGCCCTACGCAATCAACAATAAGATGTTCGAAAGGTTCACCAGTAGCCTGAATTGGTTTCAGTGGAGCTGGTTTCAACACCTGGTTTGGTTTACTCGTTAATTGGCAGGTTTTACATGTCTTAATATAAGCAGAGATGTCTCGTTTTACGCGCGGCCAAAAAAAATATCGCAACAAGCGATCATAAGTCTTACGCACCCCCTGGTGACCAGATTGATCATGCGCAATTTCGATCATCATTTGTTGAAATTTAGTAGGAACAACAACCTGAAAGACAGGATCTCCCACAAAATTTTTGTGAGGACTCCATTTTCTCAACAACACTCCATCTTGAACAAAATATCCACGGGAAACGTTACACTCCTCTACTGGAGGCACTGCACTCCGGAAGAGTTCATCCAAAGAGGAGTCATTCCGCTGTTCCTTCCCTAATTCCTCTGCAGAAACAGGAAAAGACAAAGCAGACAAATCAGGCATAAACAACTTCATGCCGACTTTATCAGATTTAACCTCTTTTTGACCACATACTACATCCCTATTGGCACCTTTCATTGCACGAGTGACGACACACGCTGAATCCTGACACAAAGAACTCAGTTCAGATTCAACTTTCTTATCAGTGATCACTATGGGAAACACTGAAGTATCAGCCCACACTCTTTCACCTACCAGTCCATTCCCCAGAATTATATGGACTCCCTCCACTGGCAAAGCTGGTCGTACTCCCATTACAACCTCACCTTGAATCAAATCAGACTGAAGCCTTACCTTATGAAGAGGCACAGACAGAGTATTCAGTCCTATTCCACGAATTAACACACTCTCACCAGTATGAGACTGTGAGGAAAAAGGCAATACTGATTCCAAAATAAATGAATCCATTGCGCCAGTATCCCGCAAGATTTTAACAGGGATTTCCTCTTTCTCTCCAACCAGGGATACACGCCCCTCTGTAATAAAAGGCGAGTAAGAAGATAAATCAACATCAAATTTTTGATTTTCAAAAATTTCACTCCCTGAAGACAGGACTGGTGCCGCGAGAGCAGAAGGTTTAACATGTGAGCTCTGTGCATTATGTTGGGACTTCTTTTTAAGGACCGGACAATCTGCTTTCCAGTGTCCTTTCTCATGACAGTAATTGCAAATCTTGTTTGGATCAAAAGTTCCTGTGGAAACGCGGTTACCGTTAGACGGAGACTTTATGTACTGAACATCACGAGCATGCCAATCGACAAAAGTGGTTTTGTGCGTCAGTACAAAATCATCGGCCAACCTAGCCGCTTCCTCTGGTGTTTTAACATTATGCTCACCAATGTACACAGCTATACGGCTTGGGACTGAATTTTTAAATTGTTCCAACACCATCAAATGCGTTAAATCCTCCAGTGTTTTAATGTCTAATGATGAACACCAATGATTAAAGTGTTTTCTCAGATCACGCACAAATTCTAAGTTTGTTTGTAACTGGTCTTTTTTCTGCCATCGAAAGCGCTGTCTGTATGCTTCGGGTACACATTCATACGCCTTTAAAATTAAAGATTTAACTCGTTCATAATCTTTACAATCGTCAAGCGACAATGAAGAAAAGACTACTTGTGCTTTCCCCGTTAACACACACTGTAGTAGAGCAACACGATTATCATCGGACCAGTTCCTTAATTCTGCCATGCGTTCAAATAGAGTAAAGAAAGTATCAGGATCTTCCTCGTTGAATTTAGGAATGAGTTTTAAGTTTGAATTGATCGAAAAAAACACATTCTGTTCCTGACCAGAACCAGAAAGCTTACCTTCTTTCACTAGGTTGAGCTTGAGAAATTCCAAATCCAACTTTGCCTTTTCTAATTCCCTTTTACCTTGTTCAGCACGCAGTTTTATGTTCTCATGGTCCATCTGTAGAAGTAGCAGCTCTTTTTGCTGTTCAAAAGACAAATTACTTTTTAAGTCAGGTGCAATCGGTACATCTTTTTCCTCCATCTCGATATCTAAGATACCTTGTTTAATTAACTCAATTTTCAAAGCTGTCTTAACATTTTCTTTGAGCCTTTTATCTTTTATCACAATTTCATAATGTTCAGCAATACTCAATAATTGCTCTTTAGTACACCCGTTCAAAAGTTCATGAGAAGGTGAACTAACAAACTCATCAATATCAGCCATGCTGAAATCACCAGAACAAATATAATCAGCACAGTGCAATCAAATAACGAGAGTTTTCCCTCTACCTTTCCAATACTCTACCTAACTCAACCCTAGTCTTCATGCGATTACCGGTGGGGGGTATTTATGCACTGTAGCCCGCTGGGTGAAAAACGCAACTGGTCAAACCAGCGACGCCTTCAACACCACGGATGTGCTCCCGAGATAATTACTACTACCCACTTTCACCGCAACACTACACAAAAATAACAAACCCGACACATCTCAAAAGAAACATGCCGCTATGCCTATCAGAGAAAACTCACGTTCAAAAAACAATATTGCACATTCACTTACCAACTGGTGATTTCACACGGTGAACAAATTGACTTTGGCAAAAAACATTTTCGTGTGTCCAACAAATAATCAATTATCAAATTAAGCATCCAAAAATGTACGCAATCAAATTATCAAAGGACGGACGAGCCCCCAATTTGTTACGACCCTTGGCTCAAGGGAAGCAACAAAAACAAGGGACACACGCAAACCAAATTATAGGCTCAAAAATAATGTTTATTTAACTACAAATAATAAGACAAAACAGAATAATGAAATGAAAACAATTAAAGAAAATAAAAGTGTTTCTGTAGTAATCAGCAAAATCAGTGTGTAGAGCACGGTGCATGGTTGAAAGGGTAATGCAATGTTGAGGTTTGAAATGTGAATGCAAAAAGCAACAAAATACAACGCAAGCCAAACACCAAAGCAAAGTCCGAAACCAAAGAGCCCTCCTTCCTTGGCTCAGATGGTGATCTTTTAAGCGTCTAAGGTCACAGGTGTTTCCATTGAGGCAATTAGGCCATTTGATGCAATTAGCGGGCTCAGGTACCAACAGCAACACTCAAGACCAACAGCAGGGGTCGTCACACCACTAAACAGTAGGTTTTGCAATAAATTAATTTTATCTGATTGGTTTGCTAGACCATTTGACAGCAATACCAACGCAATTTCAGTCATTCTGTCTATGCCTTATTTATTTAAATCTGCCATGAATCAGAACAATACAAACAGGTAAAGCTTGCTGTGAAATTTATTAAGCACACTTAACAGACACGGCAGGTAAGTTGAATTAGCTTGAATCAATGGATGAAGGGTTCTGACGAAGTCTCTTATCTGTAGAAATGTAAATGGAGTCCGGGCTGATGCAGACAGGCAGGCTGAAGAAGGTTGGCTGAAGGGAGATTGGAGATGCGGGTAGCAGGTTGAATGTTCCAAGGTAGCAGGTACGAGGCAGGTGACAAAGTCTTTGGCATGACTGAGTTAGTAAGTCGAAGTACTATCAACGAGACCTGACAACAGAGTGAGGGAACTGGTAGAGTTTTGAACAGTGAGGGAAGTGACTGGAGATTAGTGACATGTGATAATGACAGTTGCAGGTGATGCAGAACGATTGCACGGAGTGAAGAGGTCTGGCACTGACAATGCAGTTTTCTTGACAGTACCCCCTCCTCCACGGCCAGCTCCTGAGGACGGAAATGACCGACCACTACCTCTCGGCACTGGACGACTGGGATGAGCTGAGTGAAAGTGTAGGATCAAGTATTTCATCACGATGAACCCAACATCTTTCCTCAGGGTCGAAAACTTCACAGTCCATGAGATATTCTAGTTGGCTGCCCCATCACCAGGAGTCAAGAATGTCCCAGACGCAATCGATGTTCTCGTCTGCAGGGTCCACCGGAGGAGGAGGTACATCATCAGCACCAGACCCTGGGGAAGAAGGAGAGAGTGGATCAATGTATGAATTGAGCAGGGAGACATGGAATGAAGGTGAGATGCGATAGTGTGAGGGGAGAGATTGAACTGCCTTTGTATTGTGAACAGAGCAGGAGGCAGCAGCAGAGGTGGAACAGCCACTTAATGGAGCAGATCAGGAGGCAGCAGCAGAGATAGGACAGGCACTGGGTGGAGCAGGGCAGAAGGCAGCAGCAAAGGTGGAACAGTCAATGGGTGGAGCAGCAGAGGTGGGACAGCCACTGGGTGGAGCAGGGCACAAGGCTGCAGCAGAGGTGGAACAGCCGCTGGGTGGAACAGAGCAGGAGGCAGCAGCAGAGGTGGAACAGCCGCAGGGTGGAGAATGGCAGGAAGCAGCAGTAGAGGTAGAACAGCCACTAGGTGGAGCAGAGGGGGAGGCAGCAGCAGAGATGGAATAGCCGTTGGGTGGAGCATGGCAGGAAGCAGCAGTAGAGGTAGAACAGCCACTGGGTGGAGCAGAGCAGGAGGCAGCAGCAGAGCTGGAACAGCCCTCTACGCTCAAAACAGACTTTGTGTTTAGGGCTGAATTCTGTATGCTGGCAAATCCTCTAATTATAACAAACAAAGTGTGGATATTATACAAATATTCATTGTTCAGTCAGCTTCATTGATAATAACAGAGATGTGTGAGATTATGATGAACTGTCAGATTTTTAGAAATTATTTTGTAGAGATTTAGAGATAAAATTATTTTTAGAAATTAAAGGGAGTGCTCTTTGCTCACATTCAGTCATGCCAAACTATGCATGCAGTAGCCTGCTGGCTTTTATGTTGAATTAAAAGGAGGTTTTACGACCACATTCCTGTGGAAGAGAGTGCATGTGCAAGAGAGACACAATCGGAAGACAGAAACAGAAACTTTGCTACATTAATCATTGACTAACTATTGATCTATAAATGAACATGCATAAAACTGAAAGAAACAGCGTAAATGGTTGACTGTCTTGTGTACTATTATGTATATATTATGGAATGTACCTACAACCAATTAACGATCAATGTAACCTCACCTGTATCATGCCTACTACCTAATTAATCCTCCATTTAATGACTCACACTTTGATGTGCATCACCTTCTTCTAGAATGCAGTGTGAATGTGTTATATCTGAGCATTAATGAAGGTTTAACCAAGCTTGGGACAAAGACTCATAAATTAACTAGAGCAACCTTCCCACTCAGACATTTTATCTTGTTATTGGTCAAATCGATCTTCCTCAGGCTTTATTAGAGATAGTCCACATGTGACCAGCCCTCTCTTAGTTTTTCATCCAGCAGCAAGTACTGTTTCTTGTGTTACTGGGGAACCCAGTATCTGGCACTGACAATGAGCTTTGGTTTTGAAAGACATTGTGGCGGTAATGAGTAGCATAGCTATGGTTGAAATAGTGATCTTGCTGCAGCTGCTGCTGCTTTGTCTGGTCATTTGCAGATGCCAAAATTCAATGTGTTTCTTATGACCACAGCAGCCTTCTAATCAAATAAACAGCAGAGAGCTTGAAAGGGTCTGCCGTGCTATTGGAGCAAAGAAACGGCTCCATTCCAGCTCTGCGGTAGACTGATGCCTGTGAATCAAATAGCAGAATTAACTTTTGATATAGTAAAACTTCAGCATTAAATCATATCTTGCTGTGATGATTGTGTCATTATTTACTCAAACTTGTGTGACTTTAGTTCTTCCGTGGAAACAAGAAATTTGATTGAACAATCATTTCATGCTTTTCTGCACCTAAAATGAAACTTGTATGAACACCCTTTTTGAGTCCATACAACTCATGTGTGTAAGACAACTTGCGTATAATAATATATAAATAATATGTATTTAAGGGGCCAGGCAGACCAATTTAGCTCAAAAGGAATTATCAATTAATTTATAGGGAATCTGAATCACCTATACGCTGAATCACTTATACGGCCGAGTAAATGACTCGTCCAGTGTTCATTCGAACGGGCCATAACTAACCTCTGCAGCGGATTTAAATATCCAAACTATAGTGAAACACTATTTATTAGCAAGGTAACTTCGATCAGCAGTTTAAGACATTAAGAGCCCTATTTTAACAATCTGAAACGCAAGTATCAAGCGTACAGTGCAAGTAACTTTGGGGCGGGTCTTGGGCACTGTTGCTATTTTACTGGCAGGATAAATAACTCTTGCGCCCGACGCAAGTTTAAAAGGGGTTGGTCTGAAGTAGCTTTATTAGTCATAGGTGTGGTTTGGGCATAACTGAAACAAAACCATAAGAGCCAGATCACATTCTCTTTAAGAACATGATAAATGAGGTGCGCTTGTTCCATGGCGCATTTCTATTATAACGGCACATTTACCAGGAGCGCTTCACAATCAGTTCACAGCCGAGGAGATCGATATTCTCGTCAGGGCCATAAAAGAAAGAGAAGTGACTTTGGGAATGGGACAAACCCACCCAAATTAGCTTCGGTTAAACATTCATAATAATTTGGGTAAATGTGTATGGACACAACAATGATTTCCCTCGTGTTGAAATATTTCTCCTTATAATAATGTATCATTTGCAAAAAGTAAAATACATCTGTGCAGATGAGAGAATCATCTACAGTGTATGCGCATTGTTCAAACTCTGTATTATGGCCAAGCTTGCACGCTTAAAATAGCATTTCAATGTACGTGCCATTGACTTTAGACTAGCTTTTTTTCTGGTCATTGGCGCAATTGTTTTCTGGAACTGCAAACTAGGGAATGTTTTTGCCGAAACACGCCTCCTTTTTGCCCGACCCGCCCAGGGAGCGCAAGTTCATTTCCTAGTTTACCGGTATATGTCTGTAGAGTGACTTACAACTGAGGACTAAACCAAGTGAGTCATCGTGAAACAATGCAAGAAGTGCTCAAAATACAAAGTTCAGACATTGCTTTGAGTAGCACAAGCCAGATAAGTGAGGGTTTAAAGGAAAGGAAAGAATTTTTCTTTTTGTTTTCATTGAATGCTGTCAGGAATTCTGCATTCCAGATTAAGGTGGGCAGATCCTTCCATCAGCATGGTACCGTGAATGAGAATATTCTGGAGAGTGATTTTGAGGCTCTCTGTGATGGTACCACGAGCCGTCGTTCATTGACTGATCGTAGGCTTCTGGTAGGGATGTCGACTTGTAGTAGTGAGTGGAAGTAGGAGGTAGCTGATCCTGTGGTCAGTCTGTAAGCAAGGGTCATAACCTTGAACTTGATGCGAGAAGCGAGTGGTATCCAGTGCAGAGAGATGAACAGAGGAGTGACGTGGGCCCTTTTGGGCTCGTTACGATCTGCAGCATTCTGTATCATTTGTAGAGGTTTAGTTGCACATGATGGAAGTCCAGCCAGAAGAGCATTGCAGTAATCAAGCCTAGAAATGACCAGGGCCTGGACGAGAAGTTATGTTGCATGCTCAGTTAGGAAAGGCCTGATCTTCCTGATGTTGTGCACAGCAAACCTGCATGATCGAGCTGTCTTTGTAATGTGGCCTGTGAAGGTCAGCAGCCCATTCTCACTCCCAAGGAGTCACCTAACTGACGCCTTGGGAAGCATTTGGACATGCTTCAATATCTGACGCTTTAGGCGCCCTTTAGCGTCAGTTCGATGACGCCCTATGATCGCGTCATGTAAGTGACGCTAAAGGGCGCCTGAAACGTCAAATATTGAAGCATGGTCAAAGGTGACGCCTTGGGGTGAGAATGCGTTGACATCAAAGATTACATCAAAATTTCTGACTGACCTTGACGGGGTGATTGAGGAAGAATCTAGCTGGATAGTAAAGTCGTGCTGTAGAGACAGATTCGCAGGGAGGATGAGAAGCTCGGTCTTTGCAAGGTTGAGCTGCAGGTGATGTTCCTTCATCCATGCTTACATAGATGTCCGCCAGACAGCTTGAGATCCGTGCAGCTACTGTGGGATCATCTGGTTGAAATGAGAGGTAGAGCAGGGTGTCATCAGCATAGCAATGTTAAGAGAAACCATGTGCCTGTATGATGGGTCTCAGTGATGTGGTGTAAATGGATAAGAGGAGGGGTCCAAGAACTGAACCCTGGGGAACACCTGTGGTCAGTTGATGTGCTTTGGATACCTCACCTCTCCATGAAATGAAGGATCTACCTGTGAGAT